CCAATCACTGGCCACCCCTAGCCAATCAATGGCGACCCATGTGTCCACCCCTAGCAGGTGATTTGTTGTTGCCCCTGTGATGTAATGCAATACCGCTGGAACCTGCAGTACTCCTCTAAGCCTGATGGTGGCAGCAGTTTTACCATCATGTTGAATTTCCTACTTTGACATTTTAATGCTGGTATATTAACCAAAATCTGAACAGAAAATGCAGCAAAATCACAGCAATATAGTCCTAGAGAGGACTAATCTGGAAGGTTTTAGGTTTTATAGGAGAGTTTGTCTCTGCAGTCACCTAGAAATCTTCTATGTAATTTAAGACAAAGAGCTTTGCTCCACCCATTTAGGTGTCAGATGCCTATTTTATGCTTAGTTTTGAATTTCGCCCCATATTATGTATATTTGACATTGATATTTCATGTTATTTCATATTGATACAATATTTGATATTTAAATTCATAAGTGATATTAATAATTCCGGTTGAAAACTTATGTACCAGGTTAAAATGTGGATTTAGAATAATTACAGGATGTTACTTAGTGGGTCTTTAATGATTGTAGAGTTGTGCGCGAGGCGCCCGGTACGGCAGCCAGTCTTAGATTGACACGGCAGGAGGAAGGTCTGTGCCTCACGTTTTTCTGACCCTGCCGTTACCGTGGTCTGTGGAGCCTTAGATTTAGATTTAGGAAAGTTTAGGAGCCATATTTTCATTTGTATGTGTTTAAGTTTTCGTGACTTTGGTGGAAGATTTCATTTCTTCTGGATGCTGGACCATGCTTCAGCACAAAGCTTATGATGAATTTAGCTTAGAATTTTGAAAATACCCTGTATATATATATATATATGATGTAGACCCATAAATTCATATAAATGTCACTAACTTATAAATATGCGCATATCTTTATTACCCTAATGATAATCTGGTCTGTCTGCAGGGATTTATTTGGAAAATATGGATGTTGTACGCATTCATTTTCCTGTTGGTTTATTTTGATCAGTATAGACATAAGATGTTTTTGGCACAGGTTAGTTTTCAGTCACCCCTCAGGGCACATTGGCCCCTGCATGGCTAACTCACTGGTTAGCCTCCATGCTAATCTGGCCACCTCTGTAAACCGGAAAGAAAAGGATCATGGGAAATTCATTGGTTTTATGAAGCATTTATTCACCTGAAGCCAGCGCCGGTTTTTCCGGAGTGTGAATCTTAATGAGCTCAGATGCAATTAGCTGTGACTGCAGTGCAAACAGACTCCAGCCGCCCTCAGTCAAACTCCTCTGGTTTTTAGTACAGCATCCAAACATGGTTTGTTCTTTTCTTGCTGCTTTCCAGGCCTTTTTCACGCCTTTGATGAAAATCGGGACAATCACATCGACTTTAAGGAGATCTCCTGTGGGCTCTCGGCCTGCTGCAGGGGGCCAGTCGCTGAAAGGCAGAAATGTAAGTCCTGCTGCGGTTTCTAACCGCTGCGAGATAAATAAAGGTTTCAGAATAAAAGGCAGTCCTCCTATCATGAGGCCTGCAGGGCCTGTTCCTCTGAGGCTCTGAAAACCTCTGTTGGTTTTAAAATGAGCTTTTTATTTCCCTCTTCAGTTTGCTTCAAAGTGTTCGATGTGGACCGTGACGGGGTTCTGTCTCGAGATGAGCTCCATGAGATGGTGGTTGCCTTGCTGGAGGTGTGGAAGGACAATCGCACAGACACCATCCCTGTGAGTAAACCTCCGCCTGCCCTGGACCAAAACACACGGAAAAAGGTGTGTCAGATGAATCCAAACACAATCAATCCTTTCTGTCTCTTCCTACATCAATGTTGGGTCATTTTAGCTTGTGGAGTCTGGTTCCTGGCTCCTTCAGGTACCTCAGCTCTTGTGGAGACTCTAATCTAAATGTTTTCTAAGTTTTCTTGTGAATCTAAGCAGAAGAAACAGCAAGAGGGAAAAATGTAGCAGAATGGTTCATTAAAGTCATCCAGACCGTAAATCCTGACCTCTGCTCTGTTAAAGGGATCAGGCAGACGCTTCATTCTGAACCTCTCCTGCCTTCACTAACGTCTGCTCTTTCTACAGGAGCTGCTCACCAACGTGTCGGACATAGTGGAGGAGATCCTGAAGATGCACGATACGACCAAGGTGAGCCTCAGGCGGCGCTGGGCTGCGCTGACCTCAGAAAGCAGCCTCCTGGTCTGATGGTGGAGAGAGCAGAGCGGGGCCACTGAGAGGAATTACGTCACCGTTTGTTTCCATGTGGAACGCCTTCAGTCAGGGTTCTAGCACATAGTAAAAAGTCTTAAAAAGCATTAAATTCTTCAATATAAAAATAAGGCTTAATTAGTATGAAAATGTCTTCTATCAGTCTGTTATGGGTCTTAAAATTGTGAGCATGTCATAAATAGGATTTTATTTGTTTAATCAGTATTAAACAGAGGCTCACCACAGATAGAAGCCTTTGCTCCGTGTTCTGACCTCTGTGTTCCTCCTCCTCACCAGCTGGGTCATTTGACCCTGGAAGATTACCAGATCTGGAGCGTAAAGAGCGCTTTGGCCAACGAGTTCCTAAACCTGCTCTTCCAGGTCGGTACCCAGCATGCTCTGACTGCACCGTAACACCCTCCTGCAGCTGCATTCACTGATGTTCCTCTGAATGTTCCAGGTTTGCCACATAGTGCTGGGCCTGAGGCCAGCCACTCCTGAGGAAGAAGGGCAGATTATCAGGTAATTAGCCCCGTTAGCTTTTCCTCCCTGTAGTCTGGGTTTGATGTCCGATCTTTATCTGCGTTTGTTTAAAGGGGCTGGTTGGAGAGGGAGAGCAGACACGGGCTGCAGCAAGGCCAGAACTGGTTCCTCATCTCCATGCTGTGGTGGCAGCAGTGGAAAGACTACGTCAAATACGTGAGTCTCTAATGTCGCAGTGTTACGATAATGAAACGTGTCACCGGCTCCAAATGCACATTAAACACAGACATGAGATAAAAACCTGAAAATGTCCATGAAGTGGGTTGATTGTTTAGTGTCTGCCTGCAGGGGGTGCTTGCCTTCACAGGTTAAAATCAGCTGACTGTTCTCTGATACTTTCAGCCTTCCTGTTATCTGCTGGAAGTCTCACCCTCTCTGGGAGTGAAGCAGTTTCTTTTATCACAGCTTCTTATTAGGACTTTATTATAATTATTATATATAATAATTATATAATATATAATAGGAATGGACAATAAATTGCATTTTCAATATAATCGCTTTTTATTAAATTGCAATTTTTATTAAATTGAGGCCCTTAATTTTTAATCACAATACGTTTAACAAGAGTAAGACACTAAATTTCTCCCTCCAGCCCTTTAGGTGGCAGTAATACGATTAAAGTGAGTATGAGCCGCACAGAAGTGAGGACAGAGGTGCAGCTAGCACCTAGATCTATGCTTTATAGAGGAAGTAAGAACTGGTTTAACAGTAAAGTCCAGCACTGCAGGACTCTGGACAAGCAGCCTTTAGGATCACAGAAAAACTGAAACCCTGGAGTAAAACATTAATGCGCTTGGTGCGAAGCATTATTGCAATAAGATCGCAATGATGGTTAAAATAATCACAATTTCGATTTTTGGCTAAATCATTCAGCCTGAATTGTTATCATTCCTTGGACTCGATCAGCTCCCTTTACACACATCTTCTTATGACTTAAGCCGGGCGTACACTGTGCGATTTTTATTTTATTTTTTCTTCAATCGTTGCACGCAGCTACAGCTCACACCGTACGATGAAACTGCAGGGTTTAAAAGTTCCCAGCTCACCATGTTTGTTCTCAAACTGCGACGCTCTGATGCGATCTACCTGCTCACACTCTACGTCTA